CCTGTTCCCTGTGTCACGCTAAGTCTTGCAGTTTGTTTCAGAGGTAAGGGAGAGCCTATTACTGTCGGGTGAGTTCCAATGGGGTCTTCTGAGTCACAGTAGTTTCTCACATGACCCTTTTTTTCATCTTCTTTCTTGAGATTCAAAAGCAACCATAGGTCTAAAGCACACCACAGTGAATACAGAGTACAGGGAATCTTTCCCCAGGATGCAGACAGGACTAACAGTGGAAGAGCTTGCTTCCATGCTGAAATTCTGACTCTAGGACTTTGATTTGACTTGCATCAGCTGCAAAAAGAGTCTGAGCCCACCCTTAGGAAGGATGCCTTGTCCATCCATCGTCAGTGCCTAGGGTAAGCTCTCCTTCACTTTGGATTGGTAAGCAGATTTTGTGGCTAAACAGGCCTGAAGTTTTATGGAGCTTCCATCAAGTGTACTGGAAGACTGAAGAAATAGATTTGATTGATGTGTGGGAGCAGGAAGAATACAAAAGAAAAAGAGAGAGAGATTTGCAGAGTTCAGGAAAGATAGGAGAGATGGAAAAACAAAACAACTTATAAAAAAATCAAAGGAGCTGAAATAACAAATAAACTCCATTATTTATATAAATAACTATTATCCCCTGGAGTGTAGATAAGCTTGTTTTACTAAGCAGTCTTTTCATATTTGACATGAAACCACATAAACAAGACCCAGAGCCATAATTAGGTGCAGAGCTCCATGACAGCATCAGATCTGTTGATCTTTTATGATGAGAAGAACCAGTCTTCTCTGTGGTGCAGAAGAGGGTACCGCTCAAGCTTCCACCAAGGTGCTCACTCTCACCTCTAGGCTCTTCTTCCACTGCCATGAATTATTTCTGGAGCTGAATAAAGTATCATATAAGTAAAAGACGTGATAGATATATGGAACAAGTGTCTCTTTTATAGTGATGCTTACTCGCTGACGGGGCAGAGGCAATGCCGTGGCAGAGCGGAGCGGGGCACAGAGCAGCGCTCCCTGCCGCCTGCGCAGCCCCGGGCGTGGGCTGCGAGCATGGAGCTGCCGTGTAGGGAAGGTAATTAAACGGCTCCTATCACTTTACCCTGTGTCAGTAGAACTTCGGGAATTTTCACTGAACAGTTATACCGCAATTGCGAAGTCGAGGTTAAAAGAGAAGGAAATGTCTTAAGAAAAATCACTGCAGTCATTTTGGCGATGAAATTGCTAGACTGAATGATTCCCGAGTAATTTTCTCTTCGTTCTTACAAAGCTTAGGGTGGGAGTACATCTGGGAGAAACGTCTGAACGTCCGCGAGGCTCCGTGCGGCCCCGCAACCCCGCAGCGGCAGAGGGAAGCAGCACTCGGGGTTATCTGAAGCGGCATCTCTGTGTCCGACCAGCCCCGAGCGGGAGGGCAGCATCTCCCCGCGGTGAGGCTCCGCTGGAACAGCCGCGGCCCCGAGCGCTGCCCCCGGCCCGGCCCGGAGGGGAATCGTGCCCTCCGGCGGCCACCGGCAGCACAGCCCGGCTGGGCTTCCCGGCTGCGGGTCTGGCGGCTCTGAACCGGCCTCAATTAATGGGAAGAGAGGAAAATGGGGAAGAAGGCTGTCACAGAGCATCTGAAGGAATTAAAACCTCAGCCCACGGAAATCAGTGGGGAAACTTCAACTGATTTCAACCAGCTTTGAACTTCTCCTGAAAGATATATCTGGAAGTGCACATCCTCAGCCGTGCAGTCTGTGTCTGAGCACACACATAATGCCATGATTGCATTGTTGAATATCCCAAGAAATCCTCACCAGTGAGAGAACTCAGTACATTACCACCATACACAGCCTTCCCAGGCTAAATTACAGCATGTGTGTGTGCCATATGGGTAACACTGAGCAGCCTACTGCAATACGGCTGTAATTTGAGTGTATGCAGAATAACACACTGATGGGCAACTTCGTACGTGTAACCACCATGCATAGTTCTTAAGCATAGTTCACATAAGTTCTTAAATTTTCCCGCTGACTTACAAACAGTCAGATGAAATGAGAGCTTCCATTCATTCCTCATCTTGAAATGAAGAACCACATTGGCAGCCCACTCCCTCTGAAAGCAGGGAGGCTCACTGGCTGCAGTGGGGCCTGTGTGTTCCAGTCTGAGGATGTCTTAGCAGCCAATGATACTACACAGGGATTGAGATACTGGTGGGGAAATCTCATCAGTGTGCCTCCCTACAATCACTCACGTGGATTTTGTTTCCAGAGACGCACGACTGAGACCACAATGAGAGTTAAAGCCCAGTTCGTTGTGTTGCTCTGCTAACATTATCCCCCAGTTCATCTTCCTGGGAGCTCAGCATTTGTGTAGCTTTGTGTTTACATCCCAAGCTGTAATTGGAGTTGTCATTATAGCTGTGATGTATTGACATCAGTATACCTGATTTTGTTTTGTCCTGACTGCACTCTATGAAGGGCTAGACATTAGAAGCATGTCTTCTGGGGCTAAGATGCAGAAAGGCCATACAAATGGATGTGTGTTGACCGAAAAAGGCCCTGGAAAATCTCTGGGGTTGCTTGCAGCTTTGCTTGCTGCCTCCAAAGACTGAAGAATGGCTGAGAGATGTCTGAGGAGCCAGAATAGTGCCACCCACACCATGCCTCCACACAGCAGAGAGCAGGACAGGTATCCTTCACTCAGTGCTTCAGGGAAGCCTGCAGGGCTGCCTTACTGACTGCTGGAGGATCCAGGTGTGCTCCCACTGGCAGCCTAGAAGCAGTCAACCTGAACTCAGCACAGTTTGCATCATGGGCTCAGTTTCCTTTGCTTCACAGCAAGCTAGTCCAAGATAAAACAAAAACCTAGTAGAAAATGATGCAGATTGCTGCAGTGATCACTCATGCAGTGTGCAGGTCCCAGGCACCATGTAGAATCTTTCAATTATTGCTGCTTGCTTTGCTGCAGCTTGAGTGGAAGAAAGAAAGAAAGGAAGGGAGGAAGGGAGGGAGGAAGGAAGGAAGGAAAAGGAGGCAATCCTTACCTTGGGGCTGCAGCTTCTGACATAAAGGAACCGCAACATTTCCCAGGCGGGTCATGGTGTTGAGGTGCTGGCAGAGGGCTGCTGGTCTCAGAAACCACAGCAGGGACAAGTGAACAGTGGGGAAGCTGTGCTCGTTCCATGTGTGCTTTCCCTCACCTGGTAAGTCCTCCTGTTTCTTGCCATCCTGTTCTTTACTATCTCCCAATAGAGAAAAGCTAGGATAGGCAGTTGCTTTCTCTCTCTACCGTCTGGAAGTCCGGTGGGGGCAAGCTTTCCCGGCAGGGTAGGGGGAGGCAGCTCCTGACCGCGGCGGGAGACTCCGAGCGCTGCGGTGGGGCCGGGCCGGGCCGCGCTGAGCCGGGGCCGTGCTGTGCCTTCGGCGGCGGCTGTCTCGGGGTCCTGGCTCCTCGCAGAGGGGAAAGAACCCGCAGGCAGCGGGAACAAACGGTTCTTTTCTCCCTGAGCAAGAAGCCTCTTTTTTTTTGTTCTTTCTCTCCTTTTTTTTTTCTTTCCCCCCTGGGATTTCCCCCTCACCCTCAGCCATAGCACTCCCCGTTATTCAGTTATTCAATCCGCCTCGTACACCCACCTAAGTCGCTGCCGGGGAGCGTTGCCCCGGCGCTGCTGTTGGGGTTCCCCAGCCGTGAAAGCGGCCGTGCGGTGCCTTCACAGGGAGTACCAGCGGTGCACGGCCCTGGCTACTCCCGACTGGCAGCTTCTGCCTTTCTCTTGTACTCTTTCCCCGTTCGAACGTGAGCTGTTGTTAACAAGACATACCACCTGCTCGGTGCTGCCAGCGAGCCGGGACGGAGACACAAAGGCGGGGGATGGGGAGAAACTGCTTTGCCTACTAATATAATTGAAAATAAATACTCTCGGTTCCCAGGAACAAACTCGGGTGCCTTCGAGGAGGGCAAACTGAAATGTGCGGTCAGGGGATACATGGAGCTGGCAAAGAGTCCCATCACCGCAGTGCCAGGCTAGGCTGGAAGGATGCGGATCCTGCCCAGAGTCCTCCTAAGACAAGCGCAGGCACTAACGCCTGTGTCCGAAACCAGTGCTGAGCTCCCCCGCCGCTTCTAGCCCTGCATATGGCTTTCTCCGAGAGCAGTCCTCCAGTCTGACAGGACGGGGCTGTCCCTTTTCCTCTTCCCGGCCCAGAAATGTGCGGCCGCCTCAGCAAGCCGGACTTTGAGGGGGGTCGGAGATGGGAGCGGGACACAACCAGGATGTGCCTGGATGCTCCCCGCGGGGACTTTCCCCTTCCTCCCCCTTTTGCAGTGAGCCGTGCCCGCTGCAGCAGGGAACGTCCGAGATTTTGAAGCAGTGCCCCGGTGCTGCGAGGCAGCCCCCCTGGAGCGGTGCACACCGAGGCTTTAGGCCCCTTCCGCCGCCCCACACCGGGCACCCCACCACCTTCCCGGCCCCCAGCAGCACCCCACAACCGAGAGCGAGCCGAGGGAGTCTGAGAGAGAAAGAGCGGAGAGGGGAGAGGAGAAAGGGGCTGGGATAGGGGTGTGCGTGTGCCGTGGGGGGGGGGGGGGAGGAAGGCCGAATCACTTGTGAATGGCTTGAAAAAAATAATCGGGGGAGGGCGTGGAGGGGGGGAAGCGGAAACTTTCCTATAAAACTCAGCAAAAGTCCCTCCTCTCCACGTCAGGCCAATGACACTGCTGCCCCCAAACTTTCCGCCAGCAGGAGCTATAAGAACCTCCAAGTCTTCAACTTTCTCCCAATCCCAGACACCTCGAAGGGGCTCCAAGGAGGGATCGGGAGGGTTTTTTTTTTAATTTTTTTTTTTTTCGCTCGGCGTTTTTTTTCCTCCTCTTGGATCCCGATGCCATCCCCCCTCCCCCCAAAGTGAGGTCCTCCCTCCCTCCCTCCCTCCTCCTCCTTCTCCTCGCAGGCCAGCGAAGCAGCCGCTCAAGGGGGAGCTGGCGGGTTAGGTGCCCCCCTCTTCTCCCTGCCCTCCCCCCCCTCCCGGCCCGCTTCTCGCGTCTCCCCCCAGAGATGATGCAGCAGGACGAGTCAAACTCGCCAGTCTCCCCCGCCGACGACAGCTTGAGCAACAGCGAAGAGGAGCCGGACCGCCAGCAGCTGCCCAGCGCCAAGAGGGGGGGCCGCAAGCGCCGCTCCAGCCGGCGCAGCGCCGGGGGCGCCGTCGGGGCCGCGGACGAGCCCTGCAGCCCGGCGCAAGGCAAGCGGGGCAAGAAGTGCGGGGCGGGCGCGGGAGGCGGCGGCGGCGGCGGCAGCAGCAGCGGCGGCGGCAGCCCGCAGTCCTACGAGGAGCTGCAGACCCAGCGGGTCATGGCCAACGTGCGGGAGAGGCAGCGCACGCAGTCCCTGAACGAAGCTTTCGCCGCGCTGCGGAAGATCATCCCCACGCTGCCCTCGGACAAGCTGAGCAAGATCCAGACCCTCAAACTGGCGGCCAGGTACATCGACTTCCTCTACCAGGTCTTACAGAGCGACGAGCTGGACTCCAAGATGGCAAGCTGCAGCTATGTGGCCCACGAGCGGCTCAGCTACGCCTTCTCGGTGTGGAGAATGGAGGGCGCCTGGTCCATGTCCGCATCCCACTAGCAGGCGGCTTTCTCCCCCACGCATCCCCCCGGCAGGAGCCCTAGGTAAGGCGGGGACCCCCAGAACGGCGGGGAGAGGCGAGGGGGCCGCGTCGTGAGTCGGCCACGCGTGCCGGGGGGGGGAGAAGGAGGAGGGGGCCTGCGAGTCCCGAGGAGCCCGGCCTGCAGCGGGGAGAACGGGGCGGCTACTCGGGGCTGCCACCTCATGTGCAGGTCCCACGCGCGGCGGGGCGCTGCCGCGGGGGTGGGTGGGCTGCGGGCGGGGACGCGGGGCGGATGCGGCCTGAGCGCTGCGCTGCGGGGCTGCGGGTGGCTCCCGGCCGCGAGTGTTCGGGAGAGGACCCACGCGAGGCCCATGGAGCGTTCCTCGCTGCCTCAGCAGCCATGGGGAGTCCCGGAGCCGCCGCACCGCGAGCACAGCACGGGCACGCGTCTCGCATCCTTTAGGCTCTCACCGTGCTTGTGTTTGCGGGGACAGAGAGGTGTTGAGGGCTCTGCGCATACCTTTCATCGTCAGTAACGAGTTTTCCGCCCTCTTTGGGTTTTTGCAGATTGCATTGTTCCCACAGAAGGAGAAAATGGACAATCTAGAGACTCTGAAGTTGGATACCGTGTTGTGGTGTTGTTGTTCTTGTCTTAAAAAAAAAAAAAAAATGTGCCAAGAATTTCTTGGAAATTAAAAGAGCAGCATCCAAAGTGAAAGCAGGGCGTGGGGAGCACTTAAGGAAAGTGAAAGAGCCGAGGGCTTGGACAGTGCCTATCCGGTGGGCGTCGGTACAATCCACACATCTCTGCATTCTGATAGAAGTCTGAAGCGTTCCAATTTTTTTTTTTTTTTAATTTTGACGAAGAATGTTGGAATCTATCTTTTCTTTTTTTTTTTTAATTTGCCTGTTTTTAGGTGGCTTTTTTTTTTGTTGTTGGTTTTTTTGTTTTGTTTTGGTTTTGGTTTTGTTTTGTTTTGTTTTGTTTTGGTTTTTTTTTTATTGTTGTTTTTTTTTTGGCTTTTTTTTTTTTTTTTTTTTTAAATGCATGCATTCCCAAGAGGTCGTGCCTATGAGCCACTGAGGAGAGGAAGTACGTTATTGTGGACTTTACTTCATTCTTGAATGAAAGCAAACACCCAACCAAAGTATCCCTGTAGAGATGAAAACTTGTTTTGTTTTGTTTTTTTTTTTAGGGGGGAATAAGCTGGGCTCGAGCTGTTATATACCCGGTTCCTATTTTTTTTTTTAATTATTATTATTTTTCCTCTGAGAAAAAAAAATAAACATTTTATTTATTTATTGATGACCCATGTTAAAATGCAAATAGATCCGGTGTCTAAATGCATTCCTATTTTTATGATTGTTTTGTAAATATCATTGTATATTATTTTTCTGCAATAAAGAAATATGATTGAAATTTTAACAACCTTCAGGTTTGGTCTCTCTGAGAACTCCGGCTGGGAGCTGGAGATAAACACCCGCTTGTTGGGCTTAAAGGCACCCAAGAGAGAGGGGCCACAGTATAAACAAACCAGGCGAAAAACGAAAATAAACCGGCTACTGACAGACACAGGCGCTTTATTTATTGGGACAGCTTTATTATTGCACACCTAGGCTTTGGGGCACGGTGGACTCCCTCCTCCCTGTCCGTGCCCCAGGTGGGAGGCAGGAGCCCATCCCCAAGCGGCTTTGCCCATATCCTTCAGCAAAAGATATCTGTTTTAAGCAGAGATCCGTCCATTCGCAGGCAAAGAGAAAGTGAGTTTGCAATAGGGAAGTGCCTAGCGAGTGGAGTTTTCCGGTGGAAGTGATGTCTGACTGCTCTTGCTCTCTAGGGTCTTCCATATAATATATAGAGTGGCGATCACGTTCTCGTTGTGCAACACACGGGGATGCGCTAACCCGCCCTCTTCTCTTCTACACATAGGGCGCGGCGAGACCCCCGTGTAAGAGAGAGGAAATCTCCAGACCTGAGGGCTCAGGAGGAAGGTGAAAAGAGGAAGATGCTCAAACAGCAACAAAAAATACCAAGAAAAAAAAACACCCCCAGCCCTTAACGCCCGCAGCTGATTCCTCCTCTGCTGTCCCTCGCTCATTTCCCTGCTCCCCTATCCCCCTTTCTGCTCCTCCGCGGAGGCTGCGCGGGTGCGCAATGCCGCCCGGGAACCTCGCAGAGCCCCCTGCGGAGCCGGGGTCGGGCAGCCGGGACTCAGCCGGTGTCCAGGGCAAGGAGGATGGGGCATTTGTTCAAAGCAGAGCCTGTTTGCGTAGCCCAGGTTCAGTTGACTTTATTGCTTGAATGTTTTTGTTTCCATATCCCCATATTACCTTCTATTGCTGACATAACAGTCTAATGAATTTAATATCGTGCATATTTTAGGCCAGTGAGCAATGTTTACAGTAGAGAGCCCGCAGCGCTTGTTTGTATTGCCGGATTAGCGAGGACGTGGAAATTGAATGGGGGCCGCGGTGGTCGCTGACCCGCTGTGAGCTCCCGAGGGGCTTTGCCTCCCCCGCGGCCCCTCTGCTCATCTGCACCTCGCCGGAATCCTCGTCCCGCTGTGGGTCGCCGCTGGGAGGTAACGTGTGGCTGCGGGAGCAGAGGGGCAGCGGGGCTGGGAGACGTGAGCGGGGAGGGGGAGTCAGCGTTCTTTACGGGACAGAATCACAAAGGAGGGAAAGGGCTCCTTTAGGGAGAGTGGCTCGTTTAGGATGAAGCAGACTGGGAAATGAACGGGGAGAAAGGATGCTCGCTGCGCTTTGCGCGCGGGGTTACCTGCGGGATACGAGGCGAGGATCCCGACGCGTTTATGAAGCCGTGAGACACGCTCTGCTAACCCAGAGAAACGGGCCGAGCTATCCGGAGCAGCTCCGCTTGTTGAACTCCAACTGGACTGACTCCGTCGCCAAACTGCGTGCAGTGGGTGAGAAAATCCCCTATAGCTGTCCGTGGGTCCCACACGGCCCTGGGGACACCCGCCTTACCGTGGGCTCCCGCGTTCTCTCCCTGCTGCTGAATGCCACCTCCGCTTCACTAAAAGGAGATAATCCCGATTGAAAAACACAAATGCGACCTTTCCTGGTTTGGAGCTGGGGATTGCGTAGGCCTGGCTCTCCTAGAGCTTGAGCCAAAAGTGATTAAGCTGGAGTTAGGCTTCCTCAAAGGGGGAAAAATATATTGATGAATATTAATTCCTCTTCTGGGAATTTTAAACATTCTCGCAATCAGCAAATTAACTTTGGAAGTACTGATTGATTTTGCTTCTCTCTCCGAGGCGCCGCTACGGGAGTCCCACTTACTCACATACACGCGAACCCGTGCGGAGAGGAGCTCCGGGCCCATCACTCCCCGCTCACCTCCCCGGCCCGGCCGCACCGGCGGTCCCGGAGTGCTGGGAGCGGAGCAGAACGAGAAGAGGGACCCGGAGCTGCGCCTCCTGCGGGGCGGGGGGCGCCGGCCGCTGGCCTCGCGCATTCCTCGGTTTGGCAGGGGCCGCCCCGCTGCTTTCTCCAGGCCGGTATCGGGTTCCTCCCAGGCGTATGATTTCACTTGAAGTCCTGCCCAGGAGCCCTTCAAAGCGCACGCTTGTCCCGCTCCCATGATGTCAGGCGGTTTTCCCTGCATCTGTAATTTTAAGCAAAACAAACAAACGCGAGGTCGGGGTGGGGGGTTGAGAGGAGGGTACAAAAATCAAGGAAACGACGCGGAAAGCTCCGGGGGCAGAGGGGCTCACCTGCGGCGCCGGCAGCGCCGGCACCTGCCGCTCGCCGAGGGCTACCGCTGGGTCCCGTAGCTCCGGAGAGGGGTGGGGAAGGGGCTCCGTTCCCTGCACGACCCCCCAAGAGCCCAGCCGCAGCTCTTAAGGCGCAGCCCTCACCTGCCCCGGCGGGGAAAGGAGCGCTCCGCCATCGACAGGCGTCTTGGGGTAGTGGGAGTGGAAAGCCACCCCGCAGAAATTTGCGGGTGGCTGAGGGGAAAAAAGAGGCTTCCGCACCCACGTTCCACCAGGACTCGTTTTATTTGCCGCACAGCGTTAGCTGCCCGCAGTAAACATGGCACAGGATGTATTTCGCATTAACTCGTGCACCAGCTTCTCTCGGCTTCAGCCCACTTAATGTTCCTGGCAAATCAAAGCACGTGTCCTTTGAAGAAGGTGTGTAATTGGAGTTTAAGGCATGTATGGAATTCCCAGATGTCTATAAAATACGCAGGAGCATTTGGCAGGTCACTGGAAGGTGGAGCAGGTTACAATCACGAGTACAAATGTCCCCTTTTCTTTTTTAAAAGCAGCTAAGAGGCCGCGTATAAAAAAAAGCGTCCGAGATTGCGAGTTTTACAGAACGGGAACAATAAAGCAGCGGAAATATAATAGTGACAATAGCACCCATCCGAAAATCCGAACCAAACGCAAAACAAAACCGAACATTCAAAGCAGGAAGAAAGCTGCATGTCCACACCGCAAGTCTCGGTCTCTGCCCGCTTAGAAGCTCCGAACCCTCTTGTTGAGGCTGGGCTCTTGTGGGGAGCAACACTTCCTCACTGCTTTCAGAAAGATGTCGTAATATATTTGCAGCAACTTCGTGAAAGTTCTCCCGTGCCGTGCAAGGACGCGTTTCTCCCTGAAATTGTTCTGACGAACCACGCGGAAATCAACAGCGCTGCGATGATAACAGCAGTTAACAATAGGAGAAAAAAATAACGGTATCGGTTTTGGATAATGAAGCACTCATTATGTGGCTTTACCAATGTCGGAGCAACACTGCCGAGTTCGGGGATGCTGCTATCCCGCTCGCTGCCGTGCGAGATCCCCACGCACAGAGTTGCGCTGGAAGGGGACCCACTGCGCTCTCCTAAAGAGGGGAGACCTGAAGCCAGGGGCGGCTGGGACAGATGAGTCGGGAAGGGCCGGGGTCGCCCCCTCATGTTTAGGGAGGCTTTGTTCTATTTGGGATGGATGAGGCAGGGTCATTAACCGAGCAGTCAAGAAAGAAGCGATCCGCACACTGCAGCAGTGGGGGAAAGGGGATCTTCGGAGGGGAAGGGATTTTGACATGTGAAAAGTTAAGCAGGTACCTGAAGGAGGTTTATTTTGACCAGATGTTGGAGCTTTGTGAGAATGTCACGTGAAAGGAACAGATGTACAACTAGCAAATGGAGCCCCGCCTTGTAAATATGGGCAGAAAACGGCTCTCGGAAAATCAAGTGTAAATCATTTCATGCTATTTTATACATGTGTGTATTTATGCATATATTCCTTTTAAATTGTTTGCTCATTGGAAGGAAAACGCAGATGTTCGATCCAAATGTTGTACGTTCTTCCAGTGTGCCAAGTCAAACTTCCTTCCTTCCTTCCTTCCTTCCTTCCTTCCTTCCTTCCTTCCTTCCTTCCTCCCTCCCTCCGTTCCTTCCTTCCTTCCTTCCTTCCTTCCTTCCTTCCTTCCTTCCTTCCTTCCTTCCTTCCTTCCTTCTCCTTTTTTTTTTTCTTTCTCCTTCTCTTTTTTTCTTTTTTTTCCCACTTTTTTTTTCCTCTTTTCCTTTCTTTCTCTCTTTCTTCCTCACTCTTCCTCCCTTCCTTTCTCCCTCTCTTTCCCCAGTTTTCTCTCTCTTTTCATTTCTCTCTCTCCTTTTTCTTATTATTTTTCCCCTTTATTCTTTCCTGCCCATCGACCCCCTCCTTTAGTCTCGCGTCCGTTTGATCCCAACTAAAGTATCGGATCTCTGCTGGGAGGAGAAGCTGAGACTAATCAATTGCCGTCTGTTTGAAGGTGCGCGCAGCCTGCCAGGAGGATCGAGGCAGCGCCGCACTGCCAGTCCCGAGCTG